AAAGAGGAACAGTAATCGGCAGAGATGAGAGGAAAGATATTCATTCACGAATGTGCCCCACACCCACCACGGAGCCCCAATTAGAGACAGGACACCCCAACAAGAGACATGTTGCTGAACTTGCTGCCCCCCCCCCCCCAGGGGTGCGTCATGAATATACGCCCCACAAACGCCATCTTAAGAGCCGTCAGTCCGTCGAGATCGGGTTCAGTGACGAAAGGAGGATTGACAATATAAAAAAAAAAAAAAAAAAAAAAAAAAAAAAAAAAAAAAAAAAAAAAAAAAAAAGAGTCCCCTCGCTCGAGACGTTGGGTACTACAGTTTTATGGGTGCAAGAGTATGCCTCCTCAAACACCCGGGCGTCAAAACAAAAGAATGATCAAAACAGGCACAAGGACAGCAGGAAATGACGATTAGAAAAGAGAAGAGGGGGGGGGGAGAAAAACGAAACAAAAGGAAAATGAAAAGTTGTCCAGCAAAATTAGTGAGGGCAGCAGCAGGAGTACAAGGCCACAAAAGGACAGAGGACTGTCCCATGGAGCATCACACTCCGGCAGCTGCCCACCATGCCTCATCACGGCAACAACGAGCCAGACAGGGAGAGGTGGGGGGGATGTCCCAGAAGTCAGGCGTGTTTTTCCCTACATGTTTGTGATGTTGGTTATATCAGATTACTCTAGCGGTTATCTTCTTGAGGTTATCTCGAGATAATTTCGCGGCTTAGCATCCCTGCGGCCCGGTCTCTAGTTTGTTACCCCCCCCCCTGGTAGCAGCTGTCTAACTTTCAGGTGCATATTTACTGCTAGGTAACAGGGCCATCAGGGTGAAAGAAACATTTTGTCCATATGTCTCCACCAGTGATCGAACCCAGAACCTCAGGACTACGAATCCGAAGTGCTGTCCAACCAGCTGTCAGATGCGGTTGTCACTTTTTTTACAGTCCGCTAAAGCAATTGTTCCCAAAGTGGGGGCCATGGCCCCGTGGGAGGCCATTTTGCAATATGAAGGGAGCTGTAAGTTGCCACATTGTACAGGTTATGATACCAGAAGACACCCGAGGGGGCCTTTTACTGGAGGTCTTGGGCCATTAGTTAGGACACTACGATGGGAAGAAAACTCATTTTTTCAAACTTCCTAAAACTCTCGCAAAATGTTTTTGCAAAATCTACATGGTAAAGACTCCGTTTCCTTAATGAATCAACATCGTAACAAAAAAAATGACAAACCCAAAACTTGCAAATTTCAAAATGGCTTTAATAATAATTTGGGGCCTTGTAGCCTGGTGGATAGCGAGCAGGACTCTTAATTCTGTGGCGCGGGTTCGATTCCCACACGAGGCAGAAACAAATGGGCAAAAGTTTCTTTCACCCTGAATGCCCCTGTTACTTAGCAGTAAATAGGTACCTGGGAGTTAGTCAGCTGTCAAGGGCTGCTTCCTGGGGGTAGAGGTCTTGTCGAGGACCGGGCTGCGGGGACACTAAAAAGCCCCAAAATCATCTCAAGATAATAGTAAAATGTCAGTTTTTTTATTCATTGTGGTATTAGAATGAAATAATCCTCATTGTCTACTATTTATTTATCGTCTTTAGAGTATAATTTGCTGTAAAACAGCTTTTGTGTGCCATTACAATTTTAAATACCAAATTTAGACTAAACAATTTCCAACTCAACAAATTTTGAGTTTATGAAAAAAATAGAGGATTTAGAACAAAGTACTTTGAACGCATGTAAAATTTATGAGAATCGATCAGAAAATTATATTTTTAAAGTTGCCTAGAAGTTGTAAATATTGTTCATGAAAAATAACTGAAATTGAAGTTCACGATAATATCATGGTCGTTCTACTTTATGGATTTTCCTGCAAGTTTCAATCAATATTGCCGAGCATATGTACTTGAACACGTGAAAGTTGTAAGTCTTTTCTTTTCGAATTAAATCAAGAAACAAATGGATAACAAGTAAGTAATTTCACATATTTACTGTACATTTTCATATAATTATTTTATATATTTACAGCATTTCACAGGTAAAAGTTCATATCCATGGACTTCATTATTACTTTATTATCATCACGTAAATTATTGCCTGGCTAGCCAACTTTTATTTCTACGGTACATAACATACTTTAGCTCTTCTATTAATTTTTCATCGACAGGAAAGGCATCGTGAATATGAATGATGAAACAGCGAAGAAACTGCGGGATATGTCACGAAATAGCGCATCACACTTTCATCTATGAATGTGGAAAATTTTACCAGTGGGCTTTTAGGATTATTTTTAATGATTATTATTTATCTGTTTATTACATTAATTATATTTTAATTTGTTATTAAATTATTTCTTTAGAGTGGACTGTATAGTTTTAGCTTTATTTCAGCGATAAACCCGTTTCAAATTTTGTGGGTTCATTCTAGTATGTTTTACCAAATCAAAACTAATTGCTGGTAAATTGTTACTACAGGTTATTCTACTGTTTAAGAATTATTTTTAATTATTATTTACGTATTTATTACATTAATTATATTTTAACTTATTAAATTATTTCTTTAGGGTGGACTGTATAGTTTTATCTTTATCTCAACGATAAACCTGTTTCACAAACTTCGATGGCTTATTCTATTATGTTCTACCAAATCTAAACCAATTTATGGTAAATTTCTTACAACGGGTTATTCTACTTTTTAATTGTACAAATTAGACAAGCTCAGCTGTCATTTTAGAACGCGGCCTAGTGAACAGGCAACATACACATCCTCGTTCATTTGAACTCAGTCTCAGACTAGGTAGTATTATCACCTGGTTTGTCATGTGATAAACCAGTTCAGTTATTTTCATGAAGTCACAATTTCACCTGCCGGAATGTTACATTGTAAAAAATGCAAAGAACATACATCATGCAGATATGACATTAAAATATCTATTAGAAATTATTAATATATGCTTACCATTCTGGGTGGGTTCGCCTGCTGCATAACCAGTTAACAAATTAATTCATAAATGGCCATATATGCATGACTTGGTTATATGTTGTTACGGTCACTATTGACCAGTAACCGGGTTCATTATGTTGTAACCTCTTTTATAGTATCCGACCCCAAGTCGGTAGTTTACTTTCAAGAACTGGTTGTATAGTGCAATAAAGAATAAGAGGGGGATGAACAATACACAGTTCCCTTTACCTAAATATTGAAAGCTTTACCATTAAAATATCTTAAATAAAAAGAGATTATGACTACACATTTATAGTAGTGGCACTCTCACTCTGGATACTATTACGTTGGCAGTGTTCACCTACTCCAGCGTTTCCACCACCCAGTACCTTGTGCACGTGTACTGACAAACGCTGACGAGTTCATCTTTTACGTGGGCCAGTCCACTGACACAGTCTCATGAGGTGCCTACACCCAACTTTCGCTCTCCAGCAACACACTGGCAGACGACTTCAGCAACTTGCTGACAGGGGTCACAAACAACCATATTTAATGGTATCTTACCCCTGGCAGAAGCCTCTAGCAGCCTATTAGCCGCACTTCACAATAGGCACCTCACTGTTGTCCATTACTCTCCTAAGCCAATCCCAGGGTACGCCAATCTCTACCAATACTGCGTAATTTAGCAGCTAACACACTGTGCAGATCGACAGCGGCTTACGTAGTCTTCTTTCAGGACCAAACTGAAAGTACGTGGACTGCCCAAGGTAAACTGCCTTCCTCAGTACAATCACCTCCACACATCACTTCTGTGACCAAAAAACGTCATCAATTAGGTGGACGGTACACTGGAGAAACCATGAGATAACACTCATTCACCTGAGAGTTGGCATTATGCTCTGTAGCACAACAGATGTTACTGATCGTACCACGCCATCCACCAGAGGTCACCTACGTCGACCTCTCTTGCAAACTGGGGCAGGAAACATGAGCCATTGATCGCTGCCACGCCACCACCAATAGATGGCGTTGTCTACGTAGTATCCAATATCAGGGGAACTGTGGTGCTCACTCAAATATGGCGCCAAAATCGCAACTCCATACTCCAGTGAAGGTGGCGATACTGTAACATATGTCAACCGTAAATTGATGCAATTCCAAATGTTTACCGCAGTCGTGGCAGTAAATAGTGGCTTTATTCTATGTTTGGGTGTCGCGCTGCAATCGTGGCTCACGGGAAGTCTTGCTGAGAGCCTACCAGAATGGCGTCGCTTCCCGCTCCAGGGACACATACCCAAAAACGTTTTCATTAATAATTAGAAGGAGTTTTATTTAATTTTTTTAATTACTGACAGTTCAGTTTAATTTAGAGAAGTACGGTTTTATTACAACCAGTCCTGTGACTGGTACTTTTAGAGTTAATTAATTAATAAGTCTTGGATTTTTTTACAAATATTTTTCGTTTTATGCCAATTCTCATCCCCTGGAAAAGGGGGGTAATGATGTTAAAAAGTTTGGGAAACACTGCCCTAAAATATAGCTGGAGTCATACTATGCATAATGAAGGCTTATCAACCTCTGGAGGGTTATTAACACAGCACAAGTACTTACTGAGAAACCATACATTTTAGCCTTGAAAATTTTCTACAACTGCAGTCAACTTTCACTGTGTATACTGCGAGAACGTGTACACTTCTCTGTGTACATATATCCCACTGCCTCGGGAGGTAATGAAACACTCTGTTCCAAAGTAATAATTAACTTCTTATTCAGGACGATGAAGTATGGCATTGCGAAGGTGTGTGTGAGTTCGTCTCGTGTATATTTATGTTACCTCTTCGTCTTCAAAGAAAGTAATTACTCAACACATAGCTTGCTCATGTAAGAGAGCAGAGGGTACCCTCACTAAAGTCTAAAAGTACACCATACTGGTTTGCAATCAAATTGAGCTTATATGTTTAACTACACACGTATATGATCATTCTCCAGTAATGATAGTACATATAGCAACTGTGTTATCAAATAGATGATCAAAAGGTCGCAGAACACTAAAAGGAAAGATAACTCACATTGGAAACAACGGCCAGCTTGCTGACGGTGTCCATGATGTGGAACCAGACGCCGATGTCATTGACACGGAGGGGCGCCGGCCTCCTGTAGAAGGTGACAAACTTGCGGGCGTCGAGACGCGTCTCCAGCATATTGTTGACCAGAGCGAAGAGTGGAGCCAGCGGAAATGACGCCACGAAGATGGTGACGAACCCAAACTGCAATACTGTTGTAACCACTACATGTAACAATGTTGTAACCACCTCATGTAATAGTATTGTAACCAACACATGTAAAAATGTTGTAACAAAGGCATGAAACAGTATTGTAACCAGCGCACATGTAACAATATTGTAAGCACATGTAACAATGTTGTAACCACCGCATGTAACATTGTTGTAACTACCGCATGTAACAATGTTGTAATCACCGCATGTAACATTGTTGTAACTACCGCATGTAATAATGTTGTAACCACCGCATGTAACAATGTTGTAACCACTGCATGTAACAATGTTGTAACCACCACATGTAACAAAGGTGTAACCACCGCATGTAACATTGTTGTAACTACCGCATGTAACATTGTTGTAACCACCGCATGTAACATTGTTGTAACCACTGCATGTAATAATGTTGTAACCACCGCATGTAACATTGTTGTAACCACCGCATGTAACAATGTTGTAACCACCACATGTAACAAAGGTGTAACCACCGCATGTAACATTGTTGTAACCACCGCATGTAACATTGTTGTAACCACCGCATGTAATAATGTTGTAACCACCGCATGTAATAATGTTGTAACCACCGCATGTAACATTGTTGTAACCGTCGCATGTAACAATGTTGTAACCACCGCATGTAACATTGTTGTAACCACCGCATGTAACATTGTTGTAACCACCACATGTAATAATGTTGTAACCACCGCATGTAATAATGTTGTAACCACCGCATGTAACATTGTTGTAACCGTCGCATGTAACAATGTTGTAACCACCGCATGTAACATTGTTGTAACCGTCGCATGTAACAATGTTGTAACCACCGCATGTAACAATGTTGTAACCACCGCATATAACAATGTTGTAACCACTGCATATAACAATGTTGTAACTACTACATGTAACAATGTTGTAACCACCGCATGTAACAATGTTGTAACCACCGCATGTAACAATGTTGTAACCACCGCATATAACAATGTTGTAACCACTGCATATAACAATGTTGTAACTACTACATGTAACAATGTTGTAACCACCGCATGTAACAATTGTTATGATCTCAGGCTGCTGGAAAAACGAGTCTACCCCTGAGAGTTATTCTACCAGGCCTGACCTAACTAAGAGGTCAAAGAGATATAGACGTGGATATATGTATAGTAAACACTCAATTCAATTTGACGAATAGTTTAAAAACATGGGCAGTGAATAAGACTATAAATAAATGACTTCACATGAGATGTGGAGAATTTGTTGGAGGTGTGAGGCTCACTTAAGTAGGCTTTGACTTCACTTGAGCTGAAGAAATCGTGAGGTGAGGTCACGCTCCATTGAGCCCCTGGTGAAGAAGAACCCCCTGTTTGATATACCTTCAAGAAGAAGGGCAGCCTTCTTCTGAAAATTCCAAGAAGGAATTTTGTGGGCAGCCTAGGGCACCCAGTTTTATCGCAAACCCAGTGAGCGCCGAGGACCAAGTTCTGTGGTAATCCATTTTAAACCGGTTGACAGTGATTGCCTGTAGTGGTCGTGTGCCCCACGACCGTAGCAAGTGTCTATTGATATATTAGGCATATTTTAATAAGGCAAAAGGCCTAAGTAAGAGAATAGAGATGAGAGTACCAGCTGAGAAGAGGAGCGGCACATCCTCTACCACCAAGCTCATGGAGGCAACTGAACGGCAGGTACCTGGAGGTCTCGGACCCCGCGGGAAGATGTCGAGGGGAATCATTTATTGGGTGTAGTTTAATTTAGTTATATGTTTGTAGAGGAATATCTTTATTTGCGTGTCAATGGGTTGCAAGTTTGACAGGGGAAAGGAGTTGCTGAGAGAACTTCGAGGCCAGTAGAGGAGGACTCAGTGGATGGAACTCCAAGGCTATTGAAGAAATACTGAGCTCTGTGGAAGAGCAGTCCCCATAGTGAGGAGTTGGACCTCAAGCTGTGATAGGAGAAGCAGTGGAGTAGAATTTCACGTGCTTCTGTGATACCAGTGGTGAAACACCAATGATGTTCATGGATAACTTCATGGTGTAGCAGCCGGAGGAGCTGTAAAAGATCCTGGTAGACAATTCGGGGAGAAACTGAAGATGTTTAGGGTAGTGAGTCTCTGGATGCAGAGAGGAGGTTCTTAGTGACTACTTATATAGAGTTAATAGAGTGCTTGAGTGTCATTGACATGCAAGACACAGTGGAAGGTGGGTGACTGACCATTTTTGTATCAAGGAATATAAATACAGATGTTTATAGTATTACAGCCACAGCCTGAGTTGTGTATATATATATATATATATATATATATATATATATATATATATATATATATATATATATATATATATATATATATATATATCGTACCTAGTAGCCAGAATGCACTTCTCGGCCTAATATGCAAGGCCTGATTTGCCTAATAACCCAAGTTTTCCTGAATTATTATATTTTCTCTATTTTTTTTCTTATGAAATGATAAAGGTACCCATTTCATTATGTATGAGGTCAATTTTTTTTTATTGGCGTTAAAATTAACGTAGATATATGACTGAACCTAACCAACCCTACCTAACCTAACCTATCTTTATTGGTTAGGTTAGGTTAGGTAGCCGATAAGGTTAGGTTAGGTAGTCGACAAACCATTAATTCATGAAAACTAGGCTTATTAGGCAAATTGGGCCTTGCATAGTAGGCTGAGAAGTGCGTTCTGGCTACTAGGTACGGCATATATAAATATACATACATATATATATATATTATTAAATATGACCTAAAAAGTAAGATTAATAATTCTAACATGAATTTTGTCAATCTTTCGTACATTTCTTTTCACTATTGGAGGTAATTCAAAAATCGATTCTCCAAAATTCATTTTTATTTCTAGTTTGACGCAACACTTGAGCGCATTTCGTAAAACTTATTACATTTTCAAAGACTTTACACATACACAACTGAATAGAACTTGCATATCTCCGATTCCTAACGAACATAGGAATGTGCCTAAATGCCAACAGCGACTGCCCAGACAGGTACAAGAGGAGTGTTGTTAACGCATATGTCGACCGTGCTCTCAGCCACAGCTCAGAATGGAAGCAAGTCGACGAAGAACTCTGTAGGGTAAGGCAGGTCCTAGTCAACAACGGCTTCTTCAATGGTTTCGTCGAAGACATCATAAGAAGGAAAGTGAAACGCCATGCAACCTCTGAAGAGACAACTAACACAACACCTATACCCCCTATTAGACTATTTTACAGGAACTTCTTTTCCACAGCTCATAAAACGGAGGAAAGGGTCCTGAAAGATAGTTAATAGAAACGTTATCCCTACAGACAAAAATCAGAGGATACAACTAACGATTTACTATAAAACCAGGAAAACGGCCAGCCTACTCATGAGAAACTCTCCAGACACAAAGCAGAACGCTTTAAAAGAGACCAACCTCGTCTATGCCTTCAAATGCCCACTTGGGGACTGTAAGCTCCAAAAAACCCAGTATATAGGCAAGACAACAACATCTCTTTCTAGGCGTTTAACGATGCATAAGCAACAGGGCTCCATTAAGGAACATATAATCTCTTCCCACAACCAAACCATCGCCAGAGAAATCCTAGTAAACAACACAGAAATCATCGATAGATACAGCGATAGCAGACGGCATGACGTTTGCGAGGCACTGCACATTAAGAAGTCAACACCAGCAATCAACAGCCAATTAATGCACAACTATATTCTACCCACCTCAAGACTCCGCTCCAATATAGAAGCATCAAGAAATATGGACCAATAGGCTTTCTACAATCACTTCCATTTCAATACCCATTGTTTCGTGTTTTATCTTGTGTTGATGAAATTAATACCCTATTAAATACCACCTCACCCCATCCACCTCACTCAAACGTAGATATAAACAAATCGGAGATATGTAAGTTCTATTCAGTTGTGTATGTGTAAAGTCTTTGAAAATGTAATAAGTTTTATGAAACGCGCTCAAGTGTCGCGTCAGACTAGAAATAAAAATGAATTTTGGAGAATTGATTTTTGATTTACCTCCAACAGTGAAGCGTAATGTACGAAAGATTGAGAAAATTCGTGTTAGAATTATTAATCTTACTTTTTCGGTCATATTTAATAATATATGTCTACATGAAAGACTGCTACCAAAATATACTAACATATATATATATATATATATATATATATATATATATATATATATATGTTAGTATATTTTGGTAGCAGTCTTTCCTGTAGACATATATTATTAAATATGACCGAAAAAGTAAGATTAATAATTCTAACACGAATTTTCTCAATCTTTCGTACATTTCTTTTCACTGTTGGTGGTAATTCAAAAATAAATTCTCCAAAATTCATTTTTATTTCTAGTCTGACGCGACACTTGAGCGCGTTTTGTAAAACTTATTACATTTTCAAAGACTTTAGTTTACACATACACAACTGAATAGAACTTACACATCTCCGATTTGTTTATATCTACATTTGAGTGAGGTGGATAGGGTGAGGTGGTATTAATAGGGTATTAAATTCATCAACACAAGACAGAACACGAAACAATGGGTATTGAATAGAAGTGATTGTAGAAAGCCTATTGGTCCATATTTCTTGATGCTTCTATATTAGAGCGGAGTCTTGAGGTGGGTAGAATAGAGTTGTGCATTAATTGGCTGTTGATTGCTGGTGTTGACTTCTTAATGTGTAGTGCCTCGCAAACGTCAAGTCGCCTGCTATCGCTGTATCTATCGATGATTTCTGTGTTGTTTACTAGGATTTCTCTGGCGGTGGTTTGGTTGTGGGAAGAGATTATATGTTCCATAATGGAGCCCTGTTGCTTATGCATCGTTAAACGCCTAGAAAGAGATGTTGTTGTCTTGCCTATATACTGTTTTTTTTGGAGCTTACAGTCCCCAAGAGGGCATTTGAAGGCATAGACGACGTTGGTCTCTTTTAAAGCGTTCTGCTTTGTGTCTGGAGAGTTTCTCATGAGTAGGCAGTAGACATACGGTGCTAACCAGTAGACACACAGTGCTAGCCAGTAGACATACGGTGCTGACCAGTAGACATACAGTTCTGGCTTGTAGACATACGGTGTGCACCAGTAGACATACGGTACTGGCCAGTAGACATACGGTTCTGGGCAGTAGACATACGAGTCTGGCCAGTAGACATACGGTGCTGGCCAGTAGATATATGGTGCTGGCCAGTAGACATATGGTGCTGACCAGTAGACACACAATTCTGGCTAGTAGACATACGGTGCTGACCAGTAAAAATGTGGTGCTGGCCAGTAGACATACGGTTCTGTCCAGTAGACATATGGTGCTGGCCAGTAGACATACGGTGCTGGCCAGTAGACATACGATGCTGACCAGTAGACATATGGTGCTGGCCAGTAGACATACAGTTCTGGCCAGTAGACATACAGTTCTGGCCAGTAGACATACAGTGCTGGCCAGTAGACATACGGTTCTCGCCAGTAGACATACTGTGCTGGTCAGTAGACATACTGTGCTGGCCAGTAGACATACGGTTCTCGCCAGTAGACATACTGTGCTGGCAAGTAGACATACGGGTCTGGCCAGTAGACATACAGTGCTGGCCAGTAGACATACTGTGCTGACCAGTAGACATACGGTTCTGGCCAGTAGACATACAGTGCTGGCCAGTAGACATACTGTGCTGGCCAGTAGACATACTGTGCTGGCCAGTAGACATACTGTGCTGGCCAGTAGACATACGGTTCTGGCCAGTAGACATACGGTTCTGGCCAGAAGACATACATTTCTGGCCAGTAGACATACAGTGCTGGCCAGTAGACATACTGTGCTGACCAGTAGACATACGGTTCTGGCCAGTAGACATACAGTGCTGGCCAGTAGACATACTGTGCTGACCAGTAGACATACGGTTCTGGCCAGTAGACATACGGTTCTGGCCAGTAGACATACGGTTCTGGCCAGTAGACATACTGTGCTGACCAGTAGACATACGGTTCTGGCCAGTAGACATACAGTGCTGGCCAGTAGACATACTGTGCTGGCCAGTAGACATACTGTGCTGGCCAGTAGACATACGGTTCTGGCCAGTAGACACACAATTCTGGCTAGTAGACATACGGTGCTGACCAGTAGAAATGTGGTGCTGGCCAGTAGACATACGGTTCTGTCCAGTAGGCATACGGTTCTGGCCAGTAGACATACGGTTCTGGCCAGTAGACATACGGTTCTGGCCAGTAGACATACGGTTCTGGCCAGTAGACATACTGTGCTGACCAGTAGACATACGGTTCTGGCCAGTAGACATACAGTGCTGGCCAGTAGACATACAGTGCTGGCCAGTAGACATACTGTGCTGGCCAGTAGACATACGGTTCTGGCCAGTAGACATACGGTTCTGGCCAGTAGACATACGGTTCTGGCCAGTAGACATATGGTTCTGGCCAGTAGGCATACAGTGCTGGCCAGAAAACATACTGTGCTGGCCAGTAGACATATGGTTCTGTCCAGTACACATACTGTGCTGGCCAGTAGACATACGGTTCTGGCAAGTAGACATATGGTTCTGGCCAGTAGACATATGGTTCTGGCCAGTACACATACTGTGCTGGCCAGTATACATACGGTTCTGGCAAGTAGACATACGGTTCTGGCCAGTAGACATATGGTTCTGGCCAGTACACATACTGTGCTGGCCAGTATACATACGGTTCTGGCAAGTAGACATATGGTTCTGGCCAGTACACATACGGTATAGCGTCACCACACAGACGACGCTCTTAAACGCACTAGACCTAACTAGACCGCACTAGACAGGAACATACCTGAGTAAAATAGGCACTCACCCATTTCCAAGTACTCATAAAAGAGACTACGTGCGTCAAAGGGCATGAGGTAGAAGTCCTTGGCCCACTGGGGCCAGCAGGGGTCATAGGGCTGCCTGGGGGAGTGGAGAGTCATCCTGTTGCACCATCTACGAAGAATAGGAAGACCCATCTCTATACAAGCGTTGATGGCTTGTCTCCCTATCATTATGGTGGCCAGCTGTACCGTCAATTCCATCAGGCAGCCTCCAGGACCACACTGTGGAATATAAATTGCGAAGCACGTATATCATTTTTATATCGTGATGGTTTAAATTGTCTTTGCACAAGAACATGATAAATCTGCGAAAAATACTGAATATTAACCTCTACTGTGAAGCAAGAAGCAACAGTCTGGTTGATCAGATTCTGTTGGGTTACATTTTAAATCGAACTTCGTCAGAATATTTAGAAACTGGAAGGCAACAGGGTAGTAGGTGGGGTATATAGTGCTACAGTCTCTCACCCCATATTCACTGTTAGGTAGGTTCTGATAGGTAAGCACAGTAGGCCTATTCTCACAACCCTAGGCCTCCATGGAGATAGTGCCCTTCGGAACCACCTCAACGAACCAAAAGAGTGGGAATTGAAAGTAGTTCCAATTTAATGAAATATTTTTGGATATATGTACTCCATAGTAAAAATATTTTGTCCCAATTTCTGGTTTGTAACAAAAGAGGATGCTTTGACTCAGCAACGCACACGCGTTGCTGAGTCAACGTCATATATATATATATATATATATATATATATATATATATATATATATATATATATATATATATATATATATATATATATATATATATATGTCGTACCTAGTAGCCAGAACTCACTTCTGAGCCCACTATGCAAGGCCCGATTTGCCTAATAAGCCAAGTTTTCATGAATTAATTGCTTTTCGACTACCTAACCTACCTAACCTAACCTAACCTAACTTTTTCGGCTACCTAACCTAACCTAACCTATAAAGATAGGTTAGGTTAGGTTAGGTAGGGTTGGTTAGGTTCAGTCATATATCTACGTTAATTTTAACTACAATAAAAAAAAATTGACCTCTTATATAATGAAATGGGTTGCTTTATCATTTCATAAGAAAAAAATTAGAGAAAATATATTAATTCATGAAAACTTGGCTTATTAGGCAAATCGGGCCTTGCATTGTAGGCTGAAAAGTGAGTTCTGGCTACTAGGTACGACATATATATATATATATATATATATATATATATATATTATATATATATTATATATATATATATATATTATATATATATATTATATATATATATGTCGTACCTAATAGCCAGAACGCACTTCTCGGCCTACTATGGAAGGCCCGATTTGCCTAATAAGCCAAGATTTCGTGAATTAATTGTTTTTCGACTACCTAACATACCCAACCTAACCTAACCTAACTTTTTCGGCTACCTAACTTAACCTAACCTATAAAGATAGGTTAGCTTAGGTTAGGTAGGGTTGGTTAGGTTCGGTCATATATCTACGTTAATTTGAACTCCAATAAAAAAAAAGTGACCTCATACATAATGAAATGGATAGATTTATCATTTCATAAGAAAAAAATTTGAGAAAATACATTAATTCAGTAAAAGTTTTTTTATTAGGCAAATCGGGTCTTGCATAGTAGGCTGAGAAGTGCGTTCTGGCTACTAGGTACGACATTTATATATATATATATATATTGGTATATATATATTATATATATAATATATTACATTATATATATATTGATATATATATATATATATATATATATATATATATATATATATATATATTTATATTTGTCGTACCTAGTAGCCAGAACGCACTTCTCGGCGTACTATGCAAGGCCCGATTTGCCTAATAGGCCGAGTGATTTTCTTTATTTTCAATAAACTGTTTCCAATTAGTTTAGTTGTATTGTTATTATTATATTATATTATATTATATTTTATTAAGAATATAAATTACTGATGTAGTTGTGTTAGGTTAGTTTAGGTTTAGATAGGGTAGGTTAGGTTAGGTAGGGTTGGTTAGGTTCGGTCATATATCTACATTAGTTTTAACTCAAATTTAAACAAATTAACTTATACATAATGAAATGGGCAGATTTATCATTTCATTAGAAAAAAAATAAACTAAAGTCTGTGTAAACTAAAGTCTTTAAAAATGTAATAGGTAATTACGAAATGCATTCAGGCGTCGCGTCAGACTAGAAATAAAAATGAATTTTGGAAAATTGATTTTTCAATTATCATCGACAGTAAAAAGAAACAAGAAATATTGAGAAAATTCGTGTTAGAATTATTAATCTCACTTTTTCGGTCATATTTAACAACGTATATGTATGTTTTGTGACGGTGTCCCACCCCTATATTTCTTCCTTCCCAGCTTAGAAGAGTCATATCTCCATAGCCTGAGTATTCTCTGATGTTCAGGGAACAGTTTCATGTGTGGGAAAGCGTGGAGCGTGATTGAGCTGGCTGTAAAATGGCCAGCTAAGTTTGATAATGCTAGGGTCTTACGCCTTTTGGGGCACAAGACGGTGCCGAGCCATCCAGTTTGCCGCCAAGGCGTCGTGACTCCTCCTGGCACCTGATTGGCCACGTAAGGTCACGTACCGGAAGTGACCAATGACGAGAGCCCTCGGGTGGTATGACGTCACGAGGCGGAGGGCTCTCGGGGCGGCTGGCGCCTGGGCGGGAGAGTACGTCACGAGCCGCCCTAGAGTGAGTTCCAGATCTAGAGAGCCCTTACCAGTAGATTAAAGCTTTGCTTCGATACTGCAGACAGTCTGGGAGGCCATTCAACTTCCGTGGAGTGCCCAGAAGCAAGAATGGGCCGGATTAGAGAGCCAAGAGCTCTATCAAGAATCTGCAGCAGAGGGAACGTTGGGCTGGTGACGTCTGGGACGCCCAGAGGACCACGTTATGCACATCAAGCGAGAAGCTGCAGCCGGGCCAAATCTACTGGCAGTGAAGCGAGGGGGAGGTGTGCTGAACTGCGAGGTGCCGACAGTGCCAGTGAGGACGACGACGGAGGTATTTGTCTCCAGTACAAGAGGAGGAGGAGGAGGAGGAAGGCAGTACCTGTTGGGAATGAGCACGGCGAGGACGTGATACCACGAGGACGACGGAGGAACCTGTGTGTGTGTGTGTGGGAACTGATCGTCGGCAGACCAGAAGCCAGGACCAGGAACTTCAACATCCCTCAACAGAGGACGAGTCGGCTTCGTGATTGGAGTGAAATAAGGTAGATAATTGTCCCTCCCTTTACTCCTTTTGATCTAGGCAAGATAGGGTATTTTATATATTGTGAACATTACTACTCATCATTTTATTGCCTAATTGACAGAGTGTTAGGCTAGGAGCCAAGAGCTCATGTAGGCTTGATGGTGGTGTGAATATAAACATGTTGATGCGGTGACGTTAGCGATCCTGGAGGTAGTAACTGGTTTGTAAGGAGCCAGCAACGAATTTTGAAATGCCCAGCTGATCACGTTGCAAGAGGCGTGGGTGTGTCCAGCAGCCTGACAGTTAGAGCTGTCAGCTGATTGTGTTGCCAGAGGCGCAAGGTGTGCGCCCACTGTTCGAGGAGTGGACCCAGTCAGCTGACCGTGTTGCCAGAGACGTGTCATGAGGAGTGTTGCCGACAGTGGACGATATCCACTTATAAATGGTATAAAGAAATGTCTATATGTATGTATATTACCTTTTCTTCAGTTAACTTTTAAACTAACTAATGAGTTTAAGTGAGCCTCCATTCTCTAAGGCTATATTCATATGAGATCATTTTATGACACTTTGCATTGGACATGATATTGCATCCTTGATTAAGATAACCATTAAGACCACTGACGTGTTGCTGGGACATGAGTATAAACACCCAGCTGGCGACCTGAGTAGACCGGATGTCCAAGAGAGCGTCCCAGTGTCAGGGCGGGCAGGTTCAGGTGAATCATAGGAGGCTTGAACCTCCCCACTCGCTAGGGGTGTATAAGGCCAGCCCTTGGCCGACTGGGGGAGCCCAAGGGCGAGCAGTAAGCCTGGTACTGAGGGGCTAAGACCCGTGGGACGACCCCAACCACAGGTAGGAAGGGGGTGAACCTTGACAGTATGTATATGTCGTACCTCGTAGCCAGAATGCACTTCTTGGCCTACTATGCAAGGCCAGATTTGCCTAATAGGCCAAGTGATTTTTTATTTTCAATAAATTGTTTCCAATTAGTTTATTTAAATTATTATTATTAAATTATATTAGGAACATAAATTATTAACTTGGTTGTGTTAGTTTAGGTTAGGTTTAGATAAGTTAGGTTAGGTAAGGTTGGTTAGTTACGGTCATATATCTACATTAGTTTTAACTCAAATTTCAACAAATTACTTTATAAATAATGAAACGGACAGATTTATCATTTCATAAGAAAAAATTAGTAAAATATATAAATTCAGGATAACTAGGCTTATTAGGCAAATCGAGCCTTGTATAGTAGGCCGAGTACGACGTTCTGGCTACTAGGTACAACATATATATATATATATATATATATATATATATATATATATATATATATATTATTAAATATGACCGAAAAAGTAAGATTAATAATTCTAACACGAATTTTCTCAATATTTCTTATGTTTCTTTTCACTGTCGATGGTAATAGAAAAATCAATTCTCCAAAATTCATTTTTATTTCAAGTCTGACGCGACACTTGAACGTGTTTCGTAATAACTTATTACATTTTCAAAGACTTTAGTTTACACACACACAACTATAACCTGCAAATACTAAACAGAGTTTAAACAGCTTTCATTTTATACCTGCATTTGGGTGAGGTGATATGTTACAACAGTTTTGGATGAGGTGAAAAACTTTCAACACAAGATAGAACACGAAACAATGGGTATAATATTGGGTAATTTAAAGGGAAGAATGGAAGTAACTGCAAAGGGCCTATTGGCCCATATTTCTTGATGCTTCTATATTGGTGCTGAGTCTTGAAGTGGGTAGAATATAAGTAAGTAATTATCAAAAGAAGGCACCAAACCGGGAAGGCTATGTAGCACCATCAAATACGCAAAATAATCAGAAGGCGCTAAATATCACCAAGGATGCCAATACGAGAACAAAAACGCATAAGGCGAACGATATCAAAAGTATCCGAGTCACCAAGAATTCTATCGAGGGACAGGTGACCGCGAGGGGCGGTCGGA